CTCTGCCTCCTGAGTGCTGGGATTAAAGGCGTGCGCCACCACATTATTTTTCAAGACAGGATATCTCACTGAACCTGAAGCTCACCACTCGCCTAGGCCGGCTGGCTGACCTGGGATCTGGCCCTCTGTACCCTCAGTGCTGGGATTACAGGCAGGCACTACCCCTTGCCTGTAATCTGGCCCTCTTTACCCTCAGTGCTGGGATTACAGGCAGTCGCTGGGATCCACAGTCAGGACCTCATGCTCCCCAGTCAGCGCTTCACCCACTGAGGCGTCTTCCCCACCCTGAGATCCCCACAACAGCAGACAAATCTGGGGTTTCAACAAAGTCCTTCCAAAAAGCAGGACTGTCTGACTGGGCATGGTGGCGCACACCTTTAGTCTCAGCACTTGGGAGACAGAGCCAGGGGGATCTGTGAGAGTCTGAGGCTAGCCTGGTCTACAGAGTGAGGTTTTTTTTTTTTAAATTTATTATGTATACAATATTCTTTCTGAGTGTATGCCTGAAGGCCAGAAGAGGGCACCAGACCTCATTACAGATGGTTGTGAGCCACCATGTGGTTGCTGGGAATTGAACTCAGGACCTCTGGAAGAGCAGTCAGTGCTCTTAACCTCTGAGTCATCTCTCCAGCCCCCCAGAGTGAGTTTTCAGAACAGCCAGAGCTACACCATAGAAAAAGCATGGCAGCACCGGGTGGTGGTGGCACACACCTTTAATCCTAGCACTCGGGAGGGAGGCAGAGGCAGGTGGATCTCTGTGAGTTCGAAGCCAGCCTGGTCTACAAGAGCTAGTTCCAGGACAGGCTCCAAAGCTACAGAGAAACCCTGTCTTGAAAAACAAAACAAACAAACAAACACACAAACGAAAAGCATGGCAGTATCAGGGCTCAGAGGCAGTTAGTACCTGCAGATTCATCTGCCAAACCTGTCACACAGCAACTCAATCCCAGCTTCTGCCACCTCCAGAGCTTCCCAGAAGAAGTCACAGAGCAGCAACAACTCAGTCCACTCCCTGTGCTGCACTTCTGAACACAGTCCTGTTTCCTTCTAGCCTCTTCCCTCTGCGGAATGCTCTGTTGATCACTGCTTCCATTGCTCTGGAGAGCTTCAGCTGACTCTGTAAAACAGGGCTAAAAAGGGTGAAACTTGACTCGGTCTTTAGAGCCATAAGGAACTATAAGCTCAGTCAGGTGACCTCAGTCAACCATGATTTTGCTGAGAAATCCTGGGAAGGAGCCAGGATGCCATCCGGGTCCATCCTACAGTATCATGGCAACAGCTATGACTACAGCAAACACCCCATTCTGTCATGCGATGACCTCCCCGTGTGATGGGGCTTCATTCTCCCAAGAGGATGAACTGGCTGGTTCTTCGCACCAGGAAAGCTGGACCAGGCCATAGCATAAGGTCTCTGGTTAGCTATTGCTCAAAATTCAGTTCAAGGGCCGTAGAGATGGCTCAGCATTTGAGAGTACTGGCTGCTCCCCGAGAGGACTCAGGTTTGGTTCCCAGGACCCACACAGTAGTCACAACATCTGTTACTCCAGTTCCGGGCTTCTGATCCCTCTTCTGACTTCTGAGGACATCAGGCACACATATGTCACACAGACATACATGCAGGCAAAATTCCCACACACAGCTTTGGCCTAGTGACTCTAGTCAGACCAGGGTTTCAGCCCCACCGGATGCACAACGTGAGGCTGTGGTGAGAGACCAGGGAGGAGATCACACATTTGCGGTGCCAAATGCTGCTCTGCTGTTTTGCTGTTATTGTTCATTTCATTTGGTGTTTATTTTAAATCCACCTTCTAACCATTTTAACATGTTATTTTATGTGTGTATATGCCTGAATGTATATCTGTGTATCACATGAGGTCAGAAGAGGGTGTCAGGTCCCCTGGAACTGAAGTTGCAGACAGTTACAAGCCATAATGTGGGTGCTGTGACTTGGACCTGGGTCCTCTGGAAGAGCAGCCAGTGTTCTTAACCTCCCAGATGTCTCCTTCCAAGCCCTGTTTGTTTCTTTTTGAGACAAGGCCTCATGTAGTCCATACTGGCCTCAAACTCCCTATGATGCCAAAGATGATCTTGAACTCCTGATCTTCCTGGCTGTTTCCTAAGTGCTGCGCCTCCCCCACTGCTGAGTGCTTCTCATTAGCAGAATTTTAACCAGTACTACCCAACCTCCCTATAAAAGGCTCAGCACCTTGAAGGTCAAGTCCGAGCTTCAAATGTCTGTGTCCCTCCTCTGAAGCTGGCTCAGTGCCCTCCACACTGACACCTGCAAGGGCTTGCTGATGGTAAGAGGCCCTTTCGAATGAGGGAGTGTCTGAGGGCAGAGCTGTGTCAGGACTGAGGATGGGAGTAGGAGGAGGAGTGGGAGAAACAGAAATGGGACAGGTGCAGCTCATCTGCTCAAGCATCTGTTCCTAACAGAAAGCCTGCTTCTCTCGGGCCTGGTGCGCATGGCGTTAGTCTCAGGATTTGGGAGACAGAAGCAGGCATATCTCTGTGAGTTCTAGTCTGGTTAGAGCTACACAGTGAGACCCTATCTCAAAAAACAGGAGGGGTGAATAGGATCCGGAGAGATGTTTCAGTGGTAGGAGCACCAGCTGGTCTTGAACAGGATCCAGCTTCAGTTCCCAGCACCCACATCTCAACTTCAACCACCTGTCACTCCAGTCTCAGGGGATCTGATGCTTGCCTGGCCCCTGTGGGCACCAGGCACACGCATGGTATAGAGCCAAACATGCAGGCAAATCACTCATACTCATAAATTTTTTTAAATACTTTTTTAAAAAAAGCCAGCTTCTCCTGGTCTGATGAACACGTTGTGTGGGGAGATGGATATTCTAGGTGTGACCTCAGGACGTTTTCACCTCGAGTGTCCTTTTCTGGGACTGGTCCTCCACTGCTCATCCCAGCTGTTGGCTTGCTCCAGGTGACAGTGGCCCATGTGGGTTTTCTGAGACTGCCTGGCCTGTAAGTGGGTGGATGGGGTACTTCTCTGGCCCCAGGAGAGTCTGTCAGGCTGAGAGTTCTCTGAAGGAACTGGGATCCAGGACTATGAGTCTCAGTCCGAAGGTCTTTGCCAAGAGTTCTGGATACTTTCCCAGGGCTGGGTCCAGGCCTGCCTCCACTCTCTGTGTCAGGTGGCAAACTCCTTAACTTCCAAGCTCCGCCCTCATAGGTTTGGATCTGAACCACAGTTGCTGGGCCAGCCTTAAAGCACTTAGCCAGGAGAGGAAGTTGTCTCTAAGGAAACAACCATGCTCCTGTCCACACCCAGGGTCTGCTCGCTGTTCCCCAGCTACAAGGACACTCGGCTGTGGTCTCTCTGCTTCTGCTCCCTTTGTCCCAAGTTGCTGTCCCATACAGCTCTGGCTAGGACACTCTGCTAAGAGAGCCCTGCCTCTGCAGTCCTTTAACTGTAGGACAGAGTTCTAACGCCCGTCTTCGCCTGTCCTGTCACCTGCATGCCCGCCGTCCTCTGCCCTGCCCCTGCCTCATGGCGAGCTTCTTGTTTCTCTTCCACTCTCTGGCTCCCCGAAAGGGACACTCTTCTTCCCCTATAGCCAGAAAACTCATGTTCCTTCCTCCCAGCCCAGCTTGGGTAAAGCTAACCCTGACCTCCCTGGTGGTCAGGGGCTTCCTCTGCTAGGCTTGTACCGCACAGCACGCTTCTGCGACCTTCACAAGCTGTGTCGTGGTTACCGTCTCCTTCTCATGGCCTTGGATCATGGACCAAGGCCTCTTTGTTTCAATCTCCAGACCAGCTAGAGCAGGTATCTACGAACAATAGTCCGAGAAATAAACCTTTACTTGAGGTCTTCGGTAGCACGATTAATAAAAACTCAGACAGATATTGGGGTTCAACCTGAAGGTCAGAAAAGCAAAGCAGCCACCCACTGGCTCTTTCCTCTACCTCAGTCCAAAATGGTGATCCTGCCTCCAGGAATCTCGGAATAAGACTGTGTCTGAGAGCTGTCTCTTCCTGTCTTATATTCCTCTCTAGGGCTGGGATTAAAGGCATGGACCACTGCTGCCCAGTTTCTGTGGCAAACTAGTGTGACCACTGGGATTAAAGGTGTGTGTCGCCACTACCTGGTCTGTAAGGCTGACCAGTGGGGCTGCTTTACTCACTGATCTTCAGGCAAGCTTTATTTATTAACAAACACAAATGAAATATCACTAGTCTTCCTGTGACTTATTTCTGAAGTCATAGCTTACCTTCCCACCCTCTAATACCGAGAGCCCGTGGCTTCTAAGCAAGTACCCTGTGCTGGCTCAACCCTGATGTATGATGTGTTCCGTGAATGTTCACGGAACATAGAGGGGAGGAAACCTTATTGGGCAGAGCAGGTGTCCACAAGTACAAAGATGAAGGAAACCTCTTCTCCATCCGTCAGGGACCTGGCTTCAGGTTGCTGAAGTCCTACTCAGGCTGACTGCCTCTCTGAGGCCAAGATTTCTGGGAATGAGCAACACTGGGAGAGGAAGCAAGTGCAGGGGAGAGCTGGGCTCAAGAAAGGTAGTTAGTTAGCTATTCAGCCAAGCGATCTGCTTAGGAGCACGGAGCTGCTCCTTCCTACATTTTAGATTTATCTTTTTGTGTGCACATGTGTTTACCTGTACACATGTATGTACACCATGTGTGTGCCTGGTGCCCACAGAGACCACAAGAGGGTGTCAGATGCCTTGGGACTGGAGTCGCCACATTCCAGGCCACTGTGAGTGCTGGGAATCAAACCTGGGTAATCTAGAACAGCTTAAACCCCAAGCCATCTCTCCAGAGCTTCCTGCAGACCCATCCGGCCTCCTCAGTTGTCAAGAGGTTCAGAGAGCTAGAAGAGTAGTCCACAAACCTTTGCCCATCTCAGAACCTGCCATCTCAATCTGTCAAGTGGGCATAACCACCCCTACCCCACCCAGTTTACTGAAGCCAACAGAGCCAGCAGGACTGTAGAAATAAACACTTCAGGAAGCCATCATAAAAACGAACAGTTTTTACTGGTCTCGGGAACAGGGTCACAGGAGAAACGGGGTGAAAAGATGGTAGCAAGTGCCCAGGGCACCTGCCTGGAGACCTTTGAGAAAGAGAAGCAAGTGGTGAGCTGGAAGGTCAGCACCTGCAAGGAGGAGGCTGTAGCCTCACTCTCCATGGACCAGTCAAGGGACATCTCAGGGAGGCACAGTCCCCACCCAGCTTGTTCTACAGGCCTCACCGAGGTTTCTGTGAGAGAGTGGTTGTGGAACAACTTTGCAAACTGTAAAGTGCAGTGCACAACACATGCAAGCTAGCTGCCTTTGTGTTAGACAGGCCTGTCAGGATGCTAGGGAGTACTGACTATGAAAAAACACTGTTGGAGGCTCAGAGGTTGGTCCCTTGAACTTTCTCTTCCCCTCAACTTCCGTGGCACCTCATGCCCTATCCATGGGCCTTGGGGGCGAGAGGGTGGAAGTGTTCTGGAGCTGGCCCCAGTTCCCACTCTGAGCTGAGGTAGAGACCATCAGGGTGTCCTCAGCAAGGCCTGTGGTGGCTTTGCTCCCTGGGGTCAGTGGACGGTGGGATGAACAAATGCAGCCCTGGTGGCAGGGAAGGCCTGGCCCTGCGCCCTCTTTCTCCTGAGTATTGCCTTCCAGTACGTTCCTTTGTGCATCTCAGTGAGGTCCATCCTTCCCTGGGTGAGGGACAGAACGACTGCTGGTGGATTCTTCCTCACCACATGCAATATGGCACCCAGCCAAGGTCGTCTCTGCCCCCTCCTGGCACCCACAGACCAAGAGGCATAGTGTAGCCGAGGTTGTCCCCTGGGAAAGTCCCAGCTCCAGAAGCTGTGCTGAGAGAGAGGAGGGCTGTGGGGGCACTGATGAGGAGGGCTGCGGGGAGCACTCAGGGCTCTCAGAGCAAAGCCTTAAAGAGGAAGGAGAGAGAGGCTCCGCAGGACAGTCCCAGGGCCAGGAAGAAGGTCATGAGGGCTCCGGCCACTTCCCTCTCGTGTGGCAGCACCTGCCTGGAACACAAAGAAACAGAAACTTATATGGAGAAGGCAGGGCCTGACCTTAGAGATAGCTTCTGCACCCTCTCATGTCCCCTCTGCACTAGGGTTCTAGTCTGGGTCTGACCCCACCCTGTGTCACTACAACCTGGTCTTTCTCTGGGCTTCCGTTTCCTCCTCTGTAAAATGAAGGCGCTGAGAAAGAATATCTGATCTCTCTGGGCCTTTGCAGGTATTCCATCACTTTAATTCTTAACAAAATGTCCCGGTTAGTTCTTCCTGCCATGCCTACTTGTCTGAGAGTTCCAGCCCTACCGCCCCTGGAAAAAATAGCTGGGCCACCTAGACAGGTAACATCCCCAGATCCTAGCCTGGGGCAAGTGCCACAGCAAAGGCCTGTCCTATAGGATGACACCAGAGCTGAAGACAGCAACCTAGGGGTGATGGTCCTAAGAGCTAGGGTCTCCCCAGCACAGCACCCAACCCTTCGCTCCCCAGACCTGGGTGCCAGGCACATGGTGAGAGACACCAAGTAGCCATTGGAAACGGCGAAGAGCAGCATAAATGTGATGAAGTAGGCGTCCTGCCAGAAGATGGTGGGCAGCCGGGCACGCGTGGGCACATGGCAGAGCATGAAGAGGGGCACAAACAGGAAGCGCAGGCACACCAGCAGGGGCAGCAGCCGGCTGTCCTCATCTGGCTGGGACAGAGGTTCGGGTGAGTGTGGGCCCTGCAGCTAGGTGAGGGGCAAGTCACATGCGTGCAGGTGCCCTAGGAGGCCAGAAGAGGCTGTCTGACCCCTGGAAATGAAGTCACAGGGAACTGTGAGCAGAGCGACATGGGTCCCGGGAACTGAACTCAGGTCCTCTGGAAGATCAGTCAGTGCTATCTCTCTGGCCCCTGATCATTTCTTTATAACAAAAGCATTCAGTCCTTTAATCCCAGCACTGGGGAGGCAGAGGCAGGCAGATCTCTGTGAGTTCAAGGCCAGCCTGGTCTACAAAGAGAGTTCCAGGACAGCCAGGGCTGTTACACAGAGAAACCCTGCCCTGAAAACCCCAAATGAAATAATTAATTAAAAAAAAAATAGAGCATTGAAAGTTGGGTCCTCTGGTTTTCTGACATACACAGGACATTCAGATTATCTATAGTGAGTGCACCGGAGTGCCAGCACGCATTTCTCCAACCTAATTACAAGCAGAACCCTTTGGCCAGTTCTCCCATCAGATTCCAAGCAGGAGGGAGGCTGGGTCTCCAGGTTGTGTCCCCACTTGGGTTGCTGCTGCTGTATTTGTTACAATCCCAGGGAGCCATCAATTAAGGAAACAATGCCCCTCTGACAGCAACCCATTAACTAAGAATCATGTCCAATTTCTTACCAGGTACAAGAATCTTCACGAAGCAGAGGCTGGACATGGCGCTCCACCAGATGTGGTGGCTTTGGTGGAGGTCATCCCCAGCCTAGCCTGCCCATTCCGGGGGGCCATTGGGGGGGCATGTTACTTACTGCCATTAAGAGAACCAGTCAATGTCAGATCAGGGGCACTACTGAATGTCACCTTTCCATGCTCCTGTGCACCCTTTGGCCCCCAGTTACTTCCTAACCCTTTGGCTGGGTCAGTGCAAACAAGCTCACCCACAGGAAGTAGGAAGTCAGGCTCCGGCCCAGCCAATCCATAACGTTGAAGAGTAGGAAACAGCAGATGGGGTTGAAGAACTGACCTGGGGTACAGAGAGCAGCAGACAGTCACCCCATCCCCATCTGACCTTTCCCCTCACTTCCCAGCCCCTCCCTCTTCACCCCAACACTCACTCCACTTTCCAGGGCTGGTGGAGCTGGTCACCATGGCTGTGATGGCAGGAAAGACGGACAGGGTGACTGTGAAGACCAACACAAGGCACAGCGCCGTCAGCCAGATCTGGGAGCCGGAGGCAGGGTGTGAGTGGGCAGGGCAGCCCCGTGTCCATCATGTAGCCCCCAACTCTGCTGCTGTAGCCCCACCCACTGCATCCCTAAGCTACCGTGACCCAATGACAATAGGGAATAAGAACTAAAGCCCAGGGGTGGAGAAAGTGTCCCTGGGCAGATGGTTAGGAGCTATCTCTTAGCTGAACCTTCCAAAAGACAACGAACCTTCCGGAAGACAACAAAGACTGAAGGTTTCCCCAGTTTCTGTGGCGCCTCTAGTTCCAGCTCCGACTCCGGCTCCTTCTCAAGGTCAAGATCCAGAGCTGGGCCTGCCTTCTGGGGGCTGATGGGAATCCCATTCTTCTCATCTAGGGGAGAGGGAAGGCTGGAGGATCAGCCCCGTGGCTCAAATTTCCAAAAACAAGGAAATCCTAGTGGTGAAAAAAAGTGTCTCTTCCCAGCCCAAATGCAGATTAGTAATTTATTAATTTCTTTGTTTATTTACTGCAGTGCTGGGATTGGTCTGTGGTTTCCTGGACTCTTAGCCGAGTCACTCACTTCCATGCACCCCAGAACTTATATGACTTTGGTTTTGTTTGTTTTTGAAGATAGGATCTCTTTCTAGCCCAGGCTGGCCTAGAACTCTGTTACCCTGACCTTTGACTTGCTATCCCGCGTATGCCTACGTGCCAGGCAATTAGTTAAGCATTCGCATGGATTCTCTTATTGTCTCTTTGCCCTGAAGCAATGGAAGCTAAGCTGGGCGTGGTGGCAAATGCCTCTAGTCTCAGCACCCAGGAAGGTGGGCAGATTTCTGAGTCTGAGGCCAGAAAGACCCTGCTGCCAAAAGACAACAGTCAAGCAACAAAAAAGAAATGGAGACTAGAGAGATTCACTGGTCTGCCCAAGGCTGTAGATCCTAGAGATTGTGGATCCAGAACACTCTCAGCCACTTCTTCACTTTGCTCAAGAGGAAACAGACCCACAGGGTAGCAGGGACGGCTCCCCTTCATGACCTGCCTTTGCTCACACAAGGCTCAAAGAGATGGGGTGGTAATGGGGACAGAAGGGAATAGCTGCCAGGAGTCTGCTTGAACTTGCTCTCTCTCCTACCTCCCCTGTAAGGTCCTGGAATTTACCAGCTTGAAGGAGCTCAGCTTTGGTCTCTAGCTCCTGAGCTGGGGCCTGGGACAGCTTCTTGGTCAGGTAGTAGCGGGCAAACTCCTGCAGAGGAACCAACAAGTCAGTCCTGCCCCAGGCTTGTCTGTAGCCCCCCAACACCCTTTGCTGGGAAGCTGAGGTCCCTGTGGTGATTTAAAAAAAGTGGCCCCCAAAGGGAGTGGCAATATTAGGAAGTGTGGCCTTGTTAGAGTAGGTAAGTGTCACTTTGGGTGTGGCCTTTGAGGTCTTCTATGCTCAAGCTAAGCCCAGCGTCACAGCTCACTTTCTTTATGCCTGAGGATCAAGATGTAGAACTCCCAGCTACCTCTCCAGCACCATGACTACCTGTGTGCTGCTGGGTCCCGCCATGAGGATAAAGGACTAAACTCTGAAACTATAAGCCACCCCCATTTTCCTTCATAAGAGTTGCCATGGTCACGGTGTCTCTTCACAGCAATAGAAACCCTAATTAAGACTGTACCCCAACCAACACCTCCTCTAGGGGATCAGCACTAACTGAGGTCTCATCTCCCAGGGCTTTGTTTAAAATCCCCTAAGGCAGGGCTGTCTAGCCCAGTGGCAGGCTCACCAGATGGGGCAGGCTAAGGTAGCACACGATGGAGAGCAGGATGCCCACACAGGGTGTGATGAAATACCCAAGGGCAGAGGTCCGGGCATCCACGCCACCTATGGCAGAAACTTCAGCTGCAGGAGAGGCAAGCCCCACACTCCCACATGGCTTCCTGTCACGTCACCTGGTCATTCTCCCTTAGAACAAGCCACCCCATCCCCTGGCATCTTCCTCCTGTGTCCCATCTCTTTTTCCCCAACCCGCCAGCCGCCTAGGTGGACTCACTGGCCATGGACATGAGCATAGCAAGGGCAGCGAAGATCCCAGCCAGGCCCTGGCCGCTGAGGAAGAGGGTGCTGTAGGTGGAAGGCATGGTACCCAGTTGCCCGAAAAGGCTGCCTTGGAGCACTGCACAGAAAGCTGTAGAGAAATGGGGGTGTGGGGGGACAGCACCAATACTCAGGCAGCCTTGGAGGCATCTGAGAGGCAGTCTCTATAAACTCTGGTCCAGGCTGGGCAGGCATGGGTTTTCCTGGGGATTTAGGGCAGTCTGCTAGAACATCCCCCCAATCTATTTCTCTCTCTCTCTTATTTCGCTAGCCAGGAAGTCATTTTATAGACCAGGCTGGTCTTGAACTCACAGAGATCTGCCTGCCTCTGCCTCCCAAGTGCTAGGATTAAAGGTGTGCACCACACTCAGGCTGTTTGTCTTCTGAGATATAACCATTGGTCTGTGGGACTTCTGACTAAAGGCCTGTTCTTTGGTCACTATGGGTCTGAGACAAGTGATTTCCCTCTCTCTGGGATCAGCTTCTTTTGGGGTTTGGGTGATAATGGCATTATCTTCATTCAAGGATCCGTTGGCCTGTTCTAGTACAAGGAAGAAGTGTGTGTGGGGGGGGGGGGGCAGTGTACTTACAATTGATGAACCAGACGGATGCCATGGTGATGGAGAAGAACAGCCCAGGGCTCAAGTCCACCTTCACCAATGCTGCTGTCAGGACAAAGAGCAGCAGTATGGCCAGCAGGCTGCCCAGAATACGCACCGCCTCAGGGATGCTGCTCAGAAAAGGGGCGGAGGACATCAGACAGCCAGGCAGGGGAAGATGGGCAAGGAAGACGGGTAAGGGGCAGGGCAATGGAGCTGGAGCGGTAAGGTGTTAGCAGGGAAAAGGCAGGAAGCTGGAGGTCTTCCTGGCCTCTATGACGTTTCCACAAGGAGGCTGGGGTCCCACCACTGGCTCTTACCACTGATACAGGAAGGAGTTGAGGAGCGTGAAGAGCAGCAGAGGCAACTGGGACAGCAGTGTCACCCAGTTGTTGAAGTTGTAAGAGTCTGTGGGGCCAGTGTGGTTGGTGCTCAGAGCCTCAGCTGTGCTATTGGCCCCTGCCAATCGCCCCTGGAAGTACTGCCAGATGGGAGACAGGGTAGTGTCAGGAACTAGTCTTCTTCCACACTTGGGCTAAAATCTTTGGGCCTGTCTTTGTACTGTCCCCAGCTCCTGGCACACAGCTTGAGCAGGATGGGTATGCACTGTATATAAAATGGCTGAATTCTGGGACTGAGCCCGGGGCCTTGCTACATGTCTGGGTCATATCTCCTCTTCAGTGTCCTGGCTCCACTCCCACGCCTGCAGCGGCTCTATGTCCATTTATCTTGTGGGCATTTATTGAACACCTACTGTATGCAAGGCCCCAGCTTAGGTGCTAAGCAATTACATCTTCTCTGTCACACATAACCAGCCACTCTTGTGCTTAGCTTCCCATGGCCTGCAAGGCAGATCTCATGTCTGCCTTCTGAGTCATCCCGCTAAGCTCCAGGCTCTAGACACTTCTCTAAACAGGCCCTTCTTAGCCTCCACTCTGAATTCCCTCTCCCCACCTTTGCCTGCTCAGTTCACAATTTACAACTCCCTTCTATGAAGCAGAAGCTATTTCTCCTGCGAACCTTCAGCACTCTGCTTCAGGCTGGAATGGAGAGACACGGGTCACATTACATTATTAATAACTCTGGTCCCATGGATCTCCAGTTCAGTAGCTGATTCATCTTTGGGTATCCAGGGTTCACTATTGACACTAGCACCCCATAGGCACCTGGAAAGTTGCCCCACTGAATATGTTTGAATAACCCTGTCCCAAAGAAAATGCAAGCTACACATTTTTGCCTTTCCATCAAAGGATGCATGCTTTGGGGACTAGAACGCCTCTCGCTCATGGTTCCTCCACAGCAGCAATGCCTGACCTACAGCAGTTACAAGCTAAATACTAGTTTAATAAATACAATTCATGTCACTGCAAAGAAACCTAAAGGTTTGGAAAATCCACTTTTGGAATGATTGGCCAGAAATAACGACAAAAACCATGTGCTGGTTGCTCCTTTGCTGGTCAGCCTCCCTTCGCAGATGGCCCTGGCCCTTGGGGTTCTGGACATTCCTAAAAGTTTGCCTAGCCAGGTAACAGGCGTTCCCTCTGTGAAGCTCTGTGCTTCTGTTGACAAGTGAGACGTAGAAGGGGTGGTGAGAAAAGCGGCTTGGGAACCGCAGTCCAAGGCGGCGGGAGGGATGGTTTGTGGCCATGCGGTCGCTCACTGGCCGCGGGTCTCACCGGGATAGCGGTGATGAAGAAGTTCCAGGGGAGGAGGGTGCCCAGTCCCAGGATGAAGAAGCTGATCCCGACCAGGTGGTAGCTGTGGAGATCAGTCAGAAGGTCACCCCGAGGACGCACGCCTGGGTCCCCCAGCCGCCTCCGAGGCCGCCCCTCAGTAGAACGGACTACAACCCCCACCACCCTCGCGCAAGGAGCCAAGGGAATCGGCTGATGGGAATTGTAGTCCCGTTAGTCTTGAAGCCCAGGAGCGTGCAGACCAGCGGGAATTCACAGGCCTATGGTCACCGAGGCTCCGGTACGCACCACCTGGGGTTCCCACCTCACCTGTCCCGAGGGGAGTCTTCTCGCGCCATGACTGCCGCAGCCCAGTGAGCCAGGCCCGGTACGGGGCGGCTGCACCTGAGCCTCTGCGGGGCTGGCTGGTCGAAGGACAGCAACGGCAGCCGGTCTCCCGGAATCCCAAGGTCGGGACACGGAGGTCCAGGCTGGGCTACCGCCGAGACTACGTTTTTGCGGGTTCAGATCTCAGCTCCGCCTCTAGGGCGGGATCAAAGGGCCGAGCACTCCTCCCCCGTCGCGCTGGTTTTCCGTCTCGCAGGCAGCTGTGGCTTTGGGTTTGGGATCCCGTTTCCTGCTGCTTGCACGTGTGCTGCTGGGTCTTACCACTCCCCTTCCTGCAGGCTCCTGTCCTCTCTGCAGGCCTCTGGGGATCCCAAGGGGCTGGGATCTCTGGAGAGGGTTGTTATTCCCCGCGTCGCGAGATCCCCAACAAGACCACCACGGAGCCAACTTTCCAATGCAAGAACAAAGGTTTCTGTATTAGAGCCCGGGCAAGGACCTTGTCCAACACTCCAGGACAGCTAGTGAGGAAAGAAGGCCCCACTCCCTATTACGAAGGGTTTATATAGGGAAAAACCAAAACCATGAGCAGGGAGCTATATGTCTTGGCGTTTTATGATTGGGTGAGGGGATGCAGGGTGAGGTCATTCTTTAAAATCATTGGCTAGGCTATAGGCAGGAAGCTACTAACTGCTGGCAGCACGTCTACAGGAAATCACAAAAATGTTGACAGGATATAGGATATCTATCTATAGGAACATCTGGCCTTTGTTAGACTTTATTGTCCTGTTTCCCACCTGGCTGTATCCGGGATGTATGTTTAAATCCTGCTAAACAACACACTCCAGGCCCCCAGTCACCAGAGGTCTCAGATGGAAGCCTATTCACAAGATGGCGTTGGTTCTGTTCCTTCAGGGTGACAAGGATGCTGTCAGGGGGAAGGGGACCATCGGTGCCTGGGCACAGTCCTAACTGCCTGGGGGTTCTTCCTCTTGGCACACTGTGTGGTGGAACCTTGCTTGCATCCCTTAAGGTTTGGAGACCTCTGAGCTTGTTGCTAACCCGGTTGGCAGCTTAGCAAGCAAGCCTGGTGGACCGGGTGGGGCAAGCTGTTGTCACCTACTGTCTCAGAGGGTCCTAGCGAGATGCTCTGAGGGAGTCTCCCTTAGAGGTCGAGGAGTTGTCCGGTTGTCTTTGCAGATGGATATGGAAGACAGACAAACAGACCAGCGGTACCTGGGTCCAGCAAGGAGGGAACTGTGACCCAGTAAGTGGATCCCTCCCCAGCAGTTGCTGCCTGCCACCACCACCACCAGGGCTGTGTTCGCCTTCCACGATTATCCACACTCAGTGAAATTTTTGATGAGATTGTAAATAAGAATCGTATAATTTATGCGTGGGTGTGGTTTCACTAGAAGGAAGAAGTGAGACATTGCTTTCCTCAGTTAAGAATATATTTGCCAAAAAAAAAAAAAGTGTGTTGATCTGGGCTGGCGCGGCAGCTCTGAAGGTAAGGGTGTCACTGCCAAGCCCGTTAGCCTGAGTTCCAGCCCTAGGACTCATGTGGGGGAAGTGACTCCTGCGAATTGTCCTCTGACCTCCACACAAGCACAGTGGCACACTTGTGCCCCACCCCATGAATACATGTAGTGTGTGTGTGTGTGTGTTTTGTTTTTCAAGACAGGGTTTCTCTGTAGCCTTGGAGCCTGACCTGGAACTAGCTCTTGTAGACCAAGCTGGCCTCAAACTCACGAAGATCCGCCTGCCTCTGCCTCCCGAGTGCGAGGATTAAAGGCGTGTGCCATCACCGCCCAGTGTGTTTTAAAGAATATAGTTATTAGCTCTGTGGGTTCGAGGTCAGCCTGGTCTGTAGAGTGAGAAGTCATTTTCAGGGTGTTTATCCTGTCTGCCAGGAAGATTGTGCTTCTGCTTTCTCCTCTGTTTTGTTCCTAGAATGTAGAATCTAGCATCCTGCTTGGCTCATTGCAGGTAGATAATAAAGGATGTAAAGGATTAGATCGTGGTGGTCTGCAGATGTCTGTGGTGCTGGGAACTGATTCCTGAACCTCTGCATGCCAGGCAAGCACTTAGCCCTGAGCTGCATCCACAGCCCTGGCCAGAGACTTCAGGCGGAAGGGAGACAAACATTCGATTACATGGGAAAAGACATTTACTCCTTGATTTTCTTTCCAGCCTTCTGATAGGCCAAGAAAGAAAGTCTGAATTCAGTCCCAGAACATTTTCAAGGCCCCTTAATCCCCTCTGCACGCGGAACTGGCCTCCGGGCATCTCCTGGCAATTTTACATACCTGCTTTTTACTCATACTTATTTCAGTAATTATTATTGATACTGGCTTTCTACTTGATAGTAATAGAAAAGCGAGTCAGAAAAACAAGTGGGGCAGGGGCGGGGACATAGCCCTGGCAGAGTCTTGAAGGCGAAAGTGGAGAATGAAGGTCTAGGGAGTGGTGCATTTTGCTTGTTTGGACTGGGATGGAAGAGTATGAGGCATTTCAGAGAAAGAACAGCCTGTCCCAGGGCTGGGGACAGGAGCGCTGGCACACTGTGGGACACACAAACAGATCCCTTTGGCTGGGAGGCGGGCACAGAGCCTCCCCGGATTTCACTTCAGGTTCTCAGCTCAGACTGGGGATCCTTGTGATTAACCATCAATAACTGGTTTCTATTCTGTGGTGAAGTTGTATGTGTAAAGAAGCCTGGGTATGAAGCGTTTTGGTGGCACCTAAGGGTGTTACAGACGGCAAGAAAGGAAAGCACTTAGTAATAAAATAATAAATACGTGGATAGTTTAGTGCACAAATGCATGAAGGCGCAGGCTCCGCCCTCTCTACAGCCACAGTCGCAAACCCATGCCAGCTCCAAAGCTGACTCTTAAAGGCCGCTGGTGTGTCTTGGTGATGTGCTATTCTGAAATGGTGACCAAGGCTTGGCGAAACTCCAAGGGACAGTGCAGCTGTCCCTCTGCAGACAGTGCCTGAATTACTGGAAAATGCTGTGTATGTTTAAACCTTACAAGTAATACATTGTGTCTGCATGTCAAGTGGACTTAGAGCCCAGGCTCAGAAACCTATGAGCAGGGTTTTTAAAATAAATAGTTGGTTTAAGTTTTAGTACAGTTTTCAATTTTCAGAGTTCCTGGACAAATAGGACGAGTTCCACATGTTAGCTGCAACTGCAGCTTCCCTGACTTAAACCCTGCATTAACGTACATCCACGCCAGTGACTGCGTCACGTGACACATTATTACCTGCAGTAATGAATTTACCTTAGAATTCATTTATTGTGTTGGACTCTAGCTTCCAAACACTGAGGAGGAGTCGCCCCCAGAGACCATCTCATACACCACAGCCGATGCAAAAGCATGAGGATTTTATTAATTCTGTCATGACAGGGTCCCCCAGCATTCGGGAAGCCGAGGGACCTCGAATACCGGGTACAGTCTATTTTTAAAGGGGCCACAGAAGCAAGGGGGGTTGTTCTTTGACTATTCTGATTGGCTTATTTGAAAGGGCTATTTATTACCAATAATTGACTGGAGAGCTGTTGCCAGATCAGATGAGGTAAGAGGTCATTTTGACCCCGTTTCCCAGGGGACCGAACCAAAGCATACGTATATGGGTAATTGTTCAGGAACTGAGTACGTGCAAGTGTAGCTGTTAGGTCCTTGGTTCCCAGGGGAGGAGGGGAAGCACTATGGCACAGAGGCTGAGAGGATTCAGAATTGTCAAAAATGGCTTCAGGATTGTCTTAAAGTCTTACAATTGCACATTCTGCTTGCTTGCTCTTTGGCTTTTTTGTTTGTTAAAGACAGGATCTCACTGGGTGGTGGTGGCACATGACTTTAATCTTAGCATTTGAGAAACAGAAGCCGGCGGATCTCTGAATTTTAGGCTAGCCTGCCTGATCTATAGAGCTAGTTCCAGGACAGTCAAGCATACCCAAAGAAACCCTGTCTTGAGCCTCCCACCAAAGAAAAACCAAACAAAAGATAGGATGTCATTCTAGCCCGGGCTGGCCTAAAATTTGCAGTGTAGCCCAGGCTAGTCTTGAACTCATGATTTTTTGGCTTGTCAGAATAAGTCTTGGCTCCACTTGGTAATCCCCTCTTATTTTTTTTTCATCTCCAATGTAAATTTTACTATTTTATTTGTAAAAAAAAAAATTACAAGCCCCTCTTATTTATTTATTTATTTATTTAATTTATTTATTTATTTTGTTTTTCAAGACAGGGTTTCTCTGTGGCTTTGGAGCCTGTCCTGGAACTAGCTCTTGTAGACCAGGCTGGTCTCGAACTCACAGAGATCCGCCTGCCTCTGCCTCCCGAGTGCTGGGATTAAAGGCGTGCGCCACCACCGCCCGCCCTCTTATTTTTTTTAAGGTTTTATTTTTATTTTATGTGCATGAATGTTTTGCCTGTGTGTATGTTTGTGCACCATGTGTGTGCACTGCCTGTGGATACAAGAAGGTGTCAGATCCTGTGGTGATTTGAAAAGAATGTCCCCTATGTGCTCATGATTTGAATTCTTGTCATTGGGGTGTGGCTCTACGTGAGAATGATTGCGAGGTGTGACCTTGTTGGAACAGATGTGGCCTTGTTGAAGGAAATGTACCATTTGGGGTGGGCATTGAGGTTTCAAACACCCAAACCAGTCCAGTGTCTTTCTCTTCCTGCTCCCTGTGGATCGAATTGTAGAACTCTCAGCTACTTCTCCAGCATCATGTCTGCCTGCAGGCTGCCATGCTTCTCCCTACGATGATAATGGACTGAAACTCTGAAAGTGTAAACTGACCCAATTAAATACTTTCTTATATAAGAGTTGCCGTGGTCATGGTGTCTCTGAAGATCCCCTGGCACCAGACCTACGAATGGTTGTAAACAGTCTAATGTGAGGGCTGAGAATTGAGCTCTGGTCAGTTTCCCCAGCAAGTTAGTTTTTTTTTTTTTTTTTAATCCCATGCCTGTGGGAGCTGGAATGAGCTGGAATGAGTGTTTGTTGCAGCACATGCCTTTAATCCCATCGCTCAGGAGGCAGAGGCAGCTGGGTCTCTGAGTTTTATGCCAGCCTGGTCTACAGAGTGAGTTCCCCCAAAACCCGGGCTACACGGAGAAATCCTGTCATGGAAAAAACAAAGAAAAAGACGCATTTGCTGCTCTTGCAGAGGATCAAGGTTCATTCAGCATCCACAGCAGACACTTCACAATCTTCCATAAATTCCAGTTCCAGTGGAACCAATGCCTTCTTGCTTCCTCTGTTTTTCAGATAAAACACTCATACACATAAAATAAAAATAAATAACTGTGACAATAAAAATAGGCCCCATGCCTGGTAATTGCCTTCATTTTCTCAGAACTGATCTCTTTTCCTAGCAGTTGGCTTCTTTTCTGAATTAAGCTCTGTTTTTTTTTCTCCACACATGTGCATATGTGTGGGTGTGCATGTATGTGTGGGGATGCATGCATGCATGCAAATGCCTGTGGATGTGGGGATGCATGCATGCATGCAAATGCC